AGGTCAGTGCAGACGGAGAGTGCCAGAGTGGTAGGAGGGAAGGTGTCATTAACCGCTGGCCAGTTTTGGCTCCCCCCGGTTCATGGTAATACTTTGAAGCGAACAGACGACAATGTAGCGTGCAATGGCCTCGTTTTAGGCCTGTGACAGGCATCAGGCGGCATCAAGAGACATAAGACATCGCGTTTCGAGTGGCTTGTATTTCGATCGAGTTCGAGTTTGTGTTGCATTTGCAATCGAGTTTCAGTTTGCCACGCAATACCCGCATGCCCCTTTCCCCACTTGGCATCAGACTCTACTTTGTGCAACTGCAGATTCTTGTTCTCATATATTTCGAGTGTAGATACGTCATATTTTGAGAACACACACGCGCTGCTCTCTCTTGTTGATCTTTCGAATTAGTATCTCAAGCGTAATGGAGCTTGCAAATGTTTTCGATTCGTGCCCCCGACAATTTGTTAACATTTCATATCAAAGCGTGTTATCGCCAGAAAAGCAAACAAAAAATATAATCTATCCATCTTTTAATCAATTTTGGGAAAATGGGGTTTCCAATTAATTGAGAGGAAAATTTTTAACTTTCATAAATGGCACCTCAATTAAGAGGTTTTGAAAAAAGAGTGAGGGAAATTAAGTTTGAAACGGAATCAAGAAAATCTGCACAAACAATTTAATCAGCCCAAAAAAGAGTTCCACCAATTGTGTTGTAAGATCAGAAATAATGGAATTATGGTTAAATTCCAGACATTAATTAATTTCTAAGAATAATTGCTTTCAAATGTAATTAATTAACTATTCTTTAATTATTATAAAAACATTTAAAGTTCATCGTTGCATAAAAACGAGCCATAAATTTCCATTGAAATACGCTCTCTCTATATGTCTCTATCACCTTGTTTTGTCTACAACCCATACCGTAATCAATTAACTTGAGTACTTGCTGGGTATCCCCTGTACAACCCTCAAGTCATTGCATTCTCCAATGTTCTTCAGAGATAATGCCAACCGATTACAACCGATAAAGGTCTCTCTCTAAATTGGTCACCTTGAATTCCTTGTAAAACGGAAAAGATTACTACAGAATCCATTCCCATGAAATTATATTCCCTTTGTGTACATTTATTGTTTTTTATGCTTTATGAATGAATTGTAGACAATCCCCTCGGATGCGCTTTAATCGGTTTTCATTTTTCTCACCGTGAGTGCTTTTTCCAGTTCCGCGTTTGTGTTCTCATCTCTGTGCGCGAGATTACTCTCAGGTGAGTGACTCATGGGTGTTTTATTGGTAATTATACATTTATTGAAATCATTCATTCAGTGCACGTCTCATTTGTGCAGGGATACTTCCTTAAAATGAATGTACTTTGTATGCACATTCTCTCTTACTCTCTTTGAAATCATTTTTTACTTCAATTTTGTATCAGTAATCACTTGATTGTTCCATGGCTAAAGCTTTAAAGATACGTACGTCAACAGGTGAGCGATTGCCGAAACGGGGAACTTGTCGATAATGCAAGTCGTCGGACACATGTCCAAACATCCACCTCCATGTCGTCTGACGAACTTCAGTTTTGGAGCTTACTACGTATTATATATGTACATATGTACATACATACATAAGTGTATTTTTCGGTCTATACTATAACAGATAAGATATGAGGTGAAAGGAAGAGTTATTTGAAACCATTTAATCGCTGGGATCAAGCAAACATATGTACCATGTAATCAATCAATTTTGGTTAAAAGAGAAGGGGTAAAACTATTAGCGATAGTCGGGATGTCAGTGAACTTATTTGATGGAGGTTACACGTGGTGTTGCTATTAACCTCTTATTCTCTTATTCTCCATTTGCGATCAATAGAAGAAGTTTAGAGAGATTATTGGAATTTACCCTTGAATTTCTTGTCTTCTTTTATCTGCTTTTCAGATCAAGTTTTTGCCACAAAGGACAGTCTCAGAAACAATCTACACTGGTTTCTTGGCAGAATGCATCAATCATTTATTGAATCACCGAATCAGAGGAATTCTAAGCGATTTCCAAGAACTGTAATTCGATGAGTCAATGATTATGGGGAGCTAGGAACCAAAGCTCTACGTATCTATCCCCAATAAATGTTTTATTTTTCTTGATCTCAAAACCAGTGGAAGTGTTATATTATTCGTATATGTGTTTGAAAATTCGCATCTTTAATAATTGTTTATTTATTAACATCATTTTATGAACGCGAGACACATGACAAGGCAAGACAAATCTAAGCGAAAATCCGAAAATCGTTGAACGCATTTCAAATGAAATTTCGCATTTCATTTGTAATCAAAACACAGACACACTGCAGAAAAAATTGGATAGTAAAAAGAAAGAAATAATTCATAGAAAATATTATTAATTCCCATAAATATCGAATATAAATTACTAAAACAATTTTAGCAATTTCCAAAGTATTTCTTAGTTTCTTTTAGTGTACGATATGTAATTGTTTCTCAGAATTCGAGAAAATGCAGGGAAAAACCAAAACCGGAACACCGCACAAGAGAAGAATCTCCTTGGAAGGCAAGCAACGGTAATTTCCTTTCCAAGAGAGCCGCTCTCCACACACTTGTTACTGGACAGAGAGGGATAGCACGAAGGAGAGAGGGAGTGAAAACAAAAGTCAAAAGGACAGGGGGGTGGTACCGCAAGAGGGAGATACTTAAAGCTGCCAGAGACAAAAAGAGAGAGAGCTGTGCAATAAACTGCAACATAAATTCTTATGCTAAATAATTGCTCACACAGAAAAAAGCTTGAAGTGAGGGGGGGAGGGGGGGACAGCGTGATCACTGTGAGAAGGCGGGGGACACTCGTTTGCCTACTGTTGTTGTTATTCTTGGAATATCACGCGGGGCTCTTGCCACCTCAGGGTCAACAACGTGTTGCACAGTGTATTCGCACTCCGTTTTGGGGATTGTATGTTTATATGTATTTTTGTGTGTGCGTATGTGTTGGGGTAATTCAAGTGCGTTTTCAATTACAGGTTCTTAAAAACGATGTCGTATTGTGTTTTTGTGTTGTTTTTAAATATACTTTTGTTGTACTCGTACTCGTATTAGTATGTTTTTATTTAACTCACTCTCACAAGGCCTTCACTTTATTTTTTTTTTTTTGTTTTGCACGTTTCTCCTTTGAAGACTCCTTTCACACACACTTGTTGTTGTTGTTCAGTGATTATACAACTTTCAAACACGTCCCTTTTGCGGGTACTTTCTATTTTGACAATTGGTGATGCTCAGGACTTGAATAACTCTTTATACTTGATGTGTTAATTGATGATTTATTCCCGGGGCACAGAATAAAACTTAGACACGATCAATCGCGTCGCACGTCGCGGTATTAATAACAAAACAAAAAGCTGTTCGTTTGAAGCCAGCACACGAGCACACGACACGTCTGTCCGGTTCAGCAATCGTCGTTGGAATCAGCGACCGAAGCGACAATAACTTCAGCACTGCCTCCACAAAAGAGAGGAGCACTGGGGAGCATAGCATGGGAGTAAATAAAGCTTTAGGAAGTTGGCCGAGACACGGCCTGGCGCTTATTGATTAAAGATCTGACCTAGGGCCTGACCTATCCACTGGCGTTTGTCAAAATGTCGAGATTTATGCGCGGCTGTGACCATGATAATGAAATCAAACACTTACCTCAGCCAAATCATTAGTATTCTGCAAGCGGGGGGGTCTTCTCTGCTCTACAACACACCACACTGATATCATGATATATTTATTCACTTCCGCGTCGTCGCGTTTTATATTTAGGCACATTTATTCACTCTTTTTCGCCTATTACTTCGCTCATTCGCGAAACTTAAAATATTTGCCGCTTTAATGTTGGTGTTGGAAAACGGTAGTTCAAGCCTCGTCCATAATATCGCTGGTTTTTCTCTACATATAAACTATATATCGTTTGAAAGGAAAAGTTGGCTATACAAGTTTAAAAAAATGCATTAACTGCATTTAAAACGACAAATGATTAGCAAATTTTTTTTTTAATTTTTTACATTCTGTTCATGGGGTCTCGCAAAACATTGTAATATTCAATTAAATGAGCTGAAGGTGTTCACCTGTCTAAATGGGGGGGCTTAAGTGGGCTAAGTTCCCTTTGCTTCTCGGCATATTTCCGAGGGTCTGTCGGTATAAATTTCTGCGGTCACACTCTGACCGTTTAGACTCACGAGAGGACTTCCCTGACAATTAATTCCCTAACCACAAAGCGCGCGCAGTAAATGATTTCAAAATAAATTATGTGATAACAAATTTATAATGTGAATATTGTGTGGCGCGGCACTACTATTTCATTGAACACATCTGAATGTTACAGCAACATAAAATATACTGAAAATTATATTTCAGTCTTACCTGTCAATATCAGCCAAACACGTTTATTTTCGATTTTTATTATTATAAATTTGTTTTAATTATTAATTTTAATTTTTTTAAATAGTAATCAGAAGAAAGAGTGATTTTCTTAATAAAAATAAAAAAATAAGATTAGTTTTGCATTTTTATTTTAAAAGTTGGAAATAAGAGTTATTCCGTAACTTTTATTTTATAAGTTGAAATAAGTTGATTATCCTTTCAACTGAGTGGTGTGTTATTATTAAGGTAGGCATGTTCCTGATCCTTCCATGTGATGCAACTCATGTACTTCAAGGACGAATATTAAGGAATTTACTATTTGCCTTGAAATTTTATTTTGAGCTTTCATAATTTGTTGGCAAATGTCAGTCATTGTGTTTCTGCAATTCTCAGGGTCTCTGCTGAAATTACTAATGACTAGGGTTGTCAAATATTAAAAAAATGTCATGGTTTCTTCATTCAAAACACGCACAGACTTGTTTACAGAACGAAAATCGTCCAACAGTACAGTATACCCTATTTATGTATTTAGATTCTGTGGTTAGTTACGTTTATCACGATATAAATATACTTTTACTTTGAAAAATATCGATATATTCATATTTTGATATATTTTCGACAACCCTACATTTGACCTATTTCAGCAGAATCGAAGAAAAAAAAACAATATTTTGCGAAAAAGAAACACGAAGATTGCGACAGCATTCGTTTTTATCAGTCACGGACAAAATAGTTTAAATTCGCGGACATTGCAGCAGATACAGACACATATTCCAGTGCAAACCAATGTGCGCAAAATGAAAGTAACAATCAAGTCATGGACGGGAGTTGCAACTTGGCGTTGGATAGCGAATGATGAGAATTGCGGTATTTGTCGCATGTCCTTCGAGAGCACTTGCCCAGAGTGTGCGCTGCCCGGTGACGATTGCCCCCTAGTGTGGGGTGTCTGCTCCCATTGTTTCCACATGCATTGCATTGTCAAGTGGCTCAACTTGCAACCATTGAACAAACAGTGTCCCATGTGCCGCCAAAGTTGGAAATTCAATATACACTAAGCTAAGAAAGGAATCGGGCGGAGGACACGAGAGAGAAACAAGCGCAAAGCTATAGCATAATACCAATACCAAGACGAAGACGAAGACGAAGACGAAGAAGAGTTCCAAATCGAAAACCCAACCAAATGATGGACAACAGCGATCCTCAACAGCATCCACAGCTTTCGCTGAGTGGTCTGCCTCCACTGCCAAAAAGTCTGAGCTCTGCCGCCGCCGCAGCTGCTGTAGCCACCGCCCCACATCAACAGCACCACACATCTACATCCCACTTGGCCTCGCCGGCGGCGAGTGTGGCCGCTTTAAGTGCCGCCGCTGGGGAACTCTATTTGGGTCCCTCCACATCGGCGGCAGCGGCCAGGAATCGCAGCTACAACGGTCATCATAGTCAGCGTCATGGCAGCCTCTCCTCCACCCAGGAGTCGCTCAGCGATAGGGAGTCGGTGCACAGTCGCGCCTCCTCCACACACAGTGCGGGTCCGGGTGTGGCATCCGGAAGTCAACAGCACACGCCCACCAACAGCTCGAGCAGCACCGGCGCCTCCTCGTCGACGATCGACAACCAATTGGCCATACTCCGGCGCGAAATGTACGGCCTGAGGCAGTTGGACTTGTCGCTGCTGTCGCAGTTGTGGGCCTTGAACGAGTCGATACAGGGATTTCGGGTATTTCTGCAGGAGCAGGATGCCATGTCGCCGCCTTCGCGATCGCGTACGCCCTCCGATGCCAACTCATTGTCCTCGGACGAGGATGATGGCTCCTACGCGCCTGTGGTGGGCCCGAAGCTGACGGATCCGCCGGTGCCCAGGGCCATGGCCTCGCCTGCGGCAAGTGGGGGGCTGCCCACCAAGCTGGCCACGGGATCGACCACATCCCATGCATCAACCAGCTCGACATCGGGGACATCAGGCTCCTCGTCGGCTGCTTCATCGATGGGCAAGCATCAGCAGTTGCAGCAACAGCAGCAACAGCAGGCGACGTCCCACTATCATCAAAGGCCGGCACCACCACCCGCACCACCTGCACAGCACAAGGCGCATCCTCAGCTGCCACGCATCCTGCAGCAACGCATGAGGCAGGCACCGCCACCACCACCACCGACAAGAGTCAAAGGTAGTGGAGGAGGTGGTGGTGGGGCGAGCAGCAGTAGCAGCAATCACAGCATTAGCAGCGTCACCCAACATCATGCCCATCCACATCCACACGCCCATCCTCATCCACACGCTCATCACTCGCGGCCAGTATGACAAAACCCGTTCTTGGACTAAACTGGAGTCCAAGAACACAACCGAAAGGCCGATGATGCATACATTTCGCAAAAAAGGGTCAATTAGACGGATGAAAATATCTTCAAGAGTCAATTCAAAATCCAAAAAGTAAAGGAACCCCACACACCACACACACACACACAGCTTGCCATTGCTCCTCCTACTCCTCCATTTCGTTTTTGATATTATAGCGAAACAAAAGGAAAAACAAAAGGAAAACCCAGAAGAAGAATCAAATAAACAAACAAAATAAAAATGTTTACAAATGAAGCGCGAGAACTTTTCAAACGTTTAATATTAAACAGAAATTGTATTCAATAATAATCTCTAAGTAGTAAAGGATAAGATCCTTAATATACATCTATTGTATTACTCGATTTGTATAAACCTAAACGTAACGCTTAACGCAAAAGAAATGAAAAAAACAAAGAATTTCCCGCATCGAATTCATAGGATCCTAGAACTGCTATTTATTTGTGTTTTTTGTTCGATTGCCTACAAAATACTAGCTAAAAAACTAAAACAAACAAAAAAACAAATCGTTCCAATTCCAATTAGCACTAACCAAAACTAAACTCTTGGCCTAAATATTTATATAGAGACGCGCGTGGATCTATGATTATCTATGATATGATTTGATAGCCCCTCCCCCCTGTCCCACTGTTAATTCTTAACGATTATACATATAATATAGTATATATTGTATCTGTATCTCAAGCAAAAAAAGAAAAGAAAATACCTAGCTGATCTTACTGTTAGTCCAATAATCCTATCATTAGAACACCCAACAAACATCCAAGGCATTTATATGTAAAGCTCAAGTATTGGAGCCCATTCTCCGAGCATTTGTACAGTGCGTTATGCGTCTATAAAGGCAGTTTCATTTACATACTCTATCATATCACCTATCCATTCAAATACTTGAAGTTTTATACCAAAAATCGACTGATTTCGAAATATTGAGTTGTTCGAGTGCATTTATCTGACAATTTTATTGATCCTTTAACTGCCTTTAGGTACACAAAACGCACTGTATACACACCTATTATACACATATATACAAATTTTACCATATAAAAGGTTTAGCAATACTATGGGGTTATTTCCTATAACGCATAAAACAAGAATCACGCGGGATTTACATATTTAATACCTAATCGAACAAAATTTTACAAATTTCCAATATTTATTGTTAGTTCTTAGCTTCTATGTTTTACCTAACAAAAAGAAAAACCAAAAAAATTCGACACTAAAAAATTGGAAAAACTATTTGGAAATCGGATAACAAACCACACTCACACATAACTTTTATTCGACTCACATTTTCTTTATTTTGTATTCATTATACAATTCTTAAGGAGACTAAAAATCAAAAAAGGAAAACAAATCGAAGGCAAACATCGGCTAATACTTAGCATACAAAGTATATACAACTGCAGCACAAAACGTGAAATTCCAATATTGAGTGTAGCCTTTGAATAGCTTTGCTTATGGGATATCTCGAGCGAGGGACTTTGACTTTAGGTGTACCATTTTGAACGTGCAAGAGAGTCCCCCATTCACCTGAGTGTTTATGATATATTTTGAGGCATTAGAAACAAAAGTACTTCAAAGAATACTCGTTTGTAATTATAGATATTTCATCTCAGAAATCAAAGCCTTACAATTATTCTGAAAATATCCTTTTAAAGTTAGATTTTACCTATTTCCTTTGGGAAACAATTTCTTACAATTATATTTGCCGACCACCCTACAAGCCAAGCTATTCAAAGGGTTTTCCTCATCCAATATACAACTTTGAGATGAACTTTTGAGTGAATGCCTACAAATGCTGTGTACAAAAAATGCAAGCATAATATCGAAAATTTACACTGAAATATGAAAGATATATACAACTTTGTGTCGAACAAGATAAATGATTTTTTACTTGCAAAATGAGATGACACGCACGACAACATAATTTATATATAAAATTGAATTCTTTGTTTTCCGAATGCAACAAGAGATGGAAACGGATAGATAGCATGAGTAGAGAGGTAGAGGACGATGTTGATGATGATGCTGATGATGAATGATATCGTTATAAAGTGTATTATGTAATGGCTAATTGATTAGTAATGGAAACGAAAGAAAAACGATACGAACGAATCGATACAATAAATATCAATTTAAATATCAATCGGATTGCTGTCATATATAATTAATTACAACAGCTGATTTGCTTGTCAAGTCTAAAGATCTTAAGTTCTAAGTGCTAAACTGGCCGCAGCAGTCGGAGGGAATCTCTGCAAGGATACAGACACATTATAGAAACAATCAAAAAGGAACTCTCACAACTTACTGTTCGTCTCGCCCCAGCCCAAGGGTACGCCCAGTCGACTGTTTTCCTGCTTGAGCCATTGGTAGAGCGGATCAAAATACTCCAAAAGGGCGGACGTGTCCATTTCCGTTTCGCCTGTAAACTCCTGCAGGACAACCTTCCAGTGCAGCGAGCTGCCGTGCGACAGGAACTTGCTTAATGCACGTCCCGCCTCCTTGCTGCCAAAGATGTCGCAATTGTCCAGGGTGCGGCGACTGTCGTTGGGCGCATACTGTCCGGCCAGGCTGCAGAGAGCCTTGTGGAACTGGAACTGAAAGATGTGGGCGGCAAAGTAGCGCAGATACTCGACGTCCGCATCGATGTGGTACTTGGCCGGCGGATCAAAGTCCTTGTCCGTACGTGGCACAGGCGGCTCAACGCCACCGTATTCGGATCTCATTTGCCAGAAGCCGCAGTTCCATTGCGGTTCCTCGATTTCGTTGCGGAATACAGCATAGCGATATTTGTCCATGGTATAGCCAAAGGGCAGGAACACAATCTTCGAGAGAGCCTGCTTGAACAGCTCGTTGATGCGACTCTTCTCGTCCAGTCGCCCATTTTCGGTCAGGCCAATGGTCTTCAAATGTTTAGCCGACATCACCGACAAGGCAATGACATCGCCAACAGCCTCGTGGAAGCCGGGATTGGGTGCACCCCGGAAGACAGCCGGCTGCTGCTCATACTGCAGATAGTACTGGATGTGTCCCAGCTCATGGTGTACCACAAAGAAGTAGTGCATGTCCACCTCTGTGCACATTTTGATCCGCACATCGCTGTCCTGATAAAAGTCCCAGGCGGAGGCGTGACAAACCACCTGACGATCGTCGGGTCGGGTAAGCAAACTCAGATTCCAGAAGCTTGGCGGCAAGGCACGCATGCCCAAGGACTGGAAGTACTGGTCGCCCAGCTCAAATAGCTTCTGCACCGTGTAGTTCTGTTGCACCATCGAGGCTTTGATGTCCACAAAGGGTTTCTCCGGATACGGCGTAAAGAGATCAATGACCTCGTTCCACGACTGGCCCCACATGTTGCCCAGCAGATGCATGGGTATGTTGCCCTCTGCGGGTACCACATCCTCACCGTAATGCTGACGCAGTCGGTACCGCACATAGCCATGGATCTGCCTGTAGAAGGGTAGCAGCTGCTTGAAACTCGCATCCAACTGTCGCTCAAAGTCGGCATCCTCATAGAACTGCACCCAGTAATCGGCATACGAGCGATGATCTATATAAATAGAATTTAAGAGGTCAGACGGCAGGTTATCGGGCGGGCGGGCCGAACACTCACCATTTAGACGGGCCGCCTTGCGTGTGAGGCGCACGTACTCGGCAAAGTTCTCTTTCTGTGTGGTACCAGCCTTGTCGTGCCATTCGCGCCAGTACCAGGCCAGCTCGGCAGGATCCCGGCTATTCGAGAGACGCTCCTGAATGTGCGGCTCCAGCGACAGCGAGCAGTCGCTGCGATTGGTATAAGAGCACACATTAGTGGTGGCATAATTTGACTGCATCGAGCTGATGGCATTTTGCAGGGCCAGATAATCGTCAGGGTCGAGGGCAGATGCTCCCATCTTGGACAGGTGGAGTGCCTGCCTGCGTACGTCTGCATCCTCGGACTGTGTGTAGTCGGAGGACTTGATTTTTTCGGCCAGCTGCTTATTTTGTACAGCGTTCCGCGCATAGACAGCAATCATGGCCTGGCGATTCTCATCAGTCACATTGGTGTTGTAGGTGTAGCTGGCTAAGTATTCCTCGTGGTAGCGCTGGCGCAGCAACTCATTTTCACGCTCAAAGAAGAGACGCGCATCCAGGGTGGAGGCTGAACAGCTATTACCCTCAGCCAGCGCTTCAGGCTGCTGAGAAACGAATCAAAATATTATAAGGTGGTAGACAACGGCGTCCTCTATGGAGTGCTTTAACTTACCCACGCTGCAAAGACCAGTAGATGGGACAAAACCCAAATCACTAGCATTTTGGCCATTTTAACCCAATGTCCACTGCTTTTTTTGCGTAAATCCACTGCCCCCTGCTTCTCGTGGCGGGAACTATGCTGTTCACTGCTTCTTTTGGCGCAATTCCTTTGCTAATTTGGCGGTATCCACTGCTCTTCTGACGGGAGTTCACTTTTCACAGCTTTTCTTGGCGGCAATCCACTGTCCACTGCTTCGCTGGGGCAAATGAACTGTTTCGACTGCTGCTTTGTGGCCGCCAGTGCCAGCACAAAACAGGGGCTCTGTCTTATCAATCGAAGCCTGCTACTTTGCACTTTGAATTTATTATACAAATAATTAATTATTATAACTTACCTAACACAGAGAACAACAAGTCCAGAGATAGCTCTATGTTTCTTCTGCCTCCAGCTGCGGGGAGCGTTTAAATATTTGAACCCACCGGGAACTGCTTTTATTACTGTATTCAATGCACATTCACACAGACACACACACACAGACGCACGCATGCAGTGCATGCTTGATATCGATATTATTTTCTTTGAGAAATGCATACACAGTTTCGCATTCATTCACAATCTTGGGTTTAAGGTGAGCGTGAGCCGAAATATTACACCTGGCCGACAATCTGGCTTTGTTGTTTGTTGCTCTTTTTGTTCCCGGCAAATTATCCACTGATTGAGCTGCATTGCCGCCAGGTGGTGCTCTGCTTTCAGAGAAGGTATCGCTTAACTGTAAACGGACGTCACATGCACCGAATCCAAGGATTTAATTAACAATTAACAGATGTCTGCTTGTCTTTTATTTATTTATACCAACAATAAGTGAAATAAAAACGAGGGAAAATTGTACACTTCAATCAGGAACAAAAAATATATGTATGTGCATCAAGTCATGGTCCTTGGAATTAGTAAATAGGAAAACTAGCGTCCACACTGCTTGTCCAAGCATGGAGTCCACCAACCAGATCCCGAACGGAATGTGCTGGAAATCGATTGCTAACATGCTGAACAGCGATTTGTGAATCGTTGCCACGCCTACAGAGCAGAATAATGGGTAACTCCTTGTCCTCCAGCTGCTTGGCGAAGCGTTTAAGGTAGCTGTCGTCCAGGATTTCACTCAGTGGCACGTTGATGGACTGGGGCAGCTGGCAAATCTCAAACTCTGCCGGCGGCCGCACATCAATCAGCAGATGTGGCTGCGTCTGTAGATTCTGATGGTATTCCTTGACCTCCAGCCGCTGTTCCGGCTCCAGTAGGTCCAGGGGATTGTCTTTGTCAGTAGCATGCATTCCGCAAAACATTTCGTAGTCGATTAGTTCCGTGATCAGCGGCTGGGCAGAGCACACGTGACAGTTGGGACGTTTGGTGCGTATGCGGATGTTGCGGAACATGCAGCTGCTTCCATCGAAGATGAGTAGACGGCCGGACATCACATCGCCCAAGCCGATGATGACCTTAATTGCCTCCAGGGCCTGCATGGCGCCAATGATTCCTGTGACGGCGCCCAGAACGCCGCCATCGCCGCAATTGGTGACCGCTTCGGGTGGCGGAGGTACCGGATAGATGCAGCGGTAGCAAGGTCCCTGCCCATAGCCATATACGGTCAGTTGTCCATCCATCTTGAGCGCACTGCCAGAGACCAGAGGCTTGCGCAGCATCACACACGCATCGTTGAGCAGGTACCGCGTGGCCACATTGTCACTGCAGTCCAGAACCACGTCATACGGCCGTACTATGTGCATCGCATTTATGCTGTTGATCACCCTCGAGTGGCAGCGAATCTGACAGTGCGAATTAAGTTCGAGCAGCGCAATCCTTGCCGACTCTGCCTTGGACATACCGCAGCGCTGCTCCGAGTGCAGGATCTGTCGATGTAGATTGCTGCGTTCCACATCGTCGTAGTCGATAAGGCCCAGGTGCCCGCATCCTGCTGAGACCAGGTACTGTGCGGCCGGACATCCCAATCCTCCCATACCCACAATCAGCACGGAGCTGTTCTTCAGCTTCAACTGGCCCTGCACTCCAAAGTCCTGCAGTATCAGCTGTCGGCTGTATCGGGCTATGTCATCGTTGGTGAGTTGGGTCTGTGGTGTGGTCGAGGACGAATCCTCCGCTCCATCGCTATCATCGCCGGCGGTTATCGCTTCCTCCAGTTCGCGTAGACATTGCTCCTTCCTGTTGAGGGTGACCCGCAGCTCCGCAATATCCCTCTTCAGCTTGACCCGCTCGCTTTGCAGTACCTCGGAGTCGATCATTAATTCAAATTAATAACAAAAACAAGTGCGAATATTAAAAATTTCTCCCACAGTCAGCTGATGCTCGATATAAGCTATCGGTGATTACCGGTAAACTCGATGGGCTGCTTATCGATTTGCAACAGCTGTTCCACTGCTTTGTATTTTTTTCTTGCGAAGTTTCGAAGTCTGTTTACAATTATCTAATCATAAATTAAATGAAAGCAATGTCCTGGCTTAGTGGTACAATTCAAAAGCTATGCAGGGCCACGCTCCTGTCGGCAGGCAGCAATCCCCTGCCTGCGATCTCCTCCACATCCACCACGGTGCGACAACTTTCGCATGCCGAGCGACGAGCACGCGGTCCCACAGTGCGCCGGTATGGCTACAAGGACAAGATCTTCAAGAGTGGCCTGCTACCCCATTTGGACAACGGACAGAAGCTGCCCATGCCCCTCTACCGGCCGAAGAACGCCTGGTCAGAGAAGCGCGCTCTGTTCGGCCAGAATGATTACATCGACATTCTGGGCAACGATCGACTGCATCCGGTGCGGGTGATGTACTCGGTGCCGTCCTGGCTGCGCGGTGTCTCTGGCAACGAGTACCAGGTGCTGCTGCGCAAGCGAAGTCTGCTGGAGAAGACCAAATACCCGATTGCTCGGCCCACCAAGTGGCGGGACATGCAGAAGCGCATTATCTATCTGTACAAATTCCTCAATCGCAAGACCAAGACCGGCTTCTCCAAGCAGTAGCGTGGAACGTAATAAAGTGTTTTGTTAATTTGATATTGTTAGCATTTTGCTTGTTTATTTTAAGAGTATGCGCGCCTCCTCCCCATCGATCATTATCTTCTGGCCATTGTACAGACAAAACTCACGCTTCACGTGCGCAAAGAGCAGGTCTGTGATGAGGAATATCTGACCCGTCGAGAAGGCCAGCGTGGCGCCAAAATAAAAGTTGGCATTGGCCGATCCCGCGTAGATCCACAAATGCCATAGGGCGCCCATCATGGACAGAGTAACCATGAAGAACGTGAAGACCACGAAGCCATGGGCCATGTACTTCCAGCAACGTTTCCAGAGCGGCAGCAATGCTAGGTAGAATCCCACATCCCCGAGGCTTGGATATGCACGAAACACTGCCATGAGCGCCACCAGCACGGTGGCCAGCAGCAAAGGCTCCTTGCGCAGCTTCAGACTGAGCGGCACCAGGTACAGAACTGTGGCATTCAGCTGGAATGTGATTAGGAACATGGTGCGGAAATGCTCGAACATTTCGGTAAAGAAATACCAAAATAGTCCAATATTTGGCTGCAGATCGCGGAAATAAAAGCTGCCAAAGGAAGAGCACATTACAGAGGAGGGATGCTATGAAGGCATCTATCAATCTTCACTCACATAAATCCCAGTGTTCCATCCAGGAAGCTCCAGCTGTGCAGCACCAAATAGCTGGCTGTCGCTATGATAACACATGCAATGGCAAAGAGCACCGATAGCATGACGCCACCAATGAGTGAGCGACGTGCAAAGACCAAGAGCAGCGGTGCCATCAGCACAATTGGATAGAGACTGCGCACAGTCTCAAAGGCCAACAGAACGATGCACGGTAGCAGCAGCCCTTTCGTGAGGAAGTACAGGAACAGAGCCAGAAACAGATTGCTCAGCACGGTCGACGTCAGGCCAATGCAGCTCAGCACAGTCAGTGGATTGAATAGATATGCAATCAGCACGAGCTCCGGTATATCGTAGTTGTCGTCGTCGTTGTACTGCAGCTGCTCGGTGTCTTTGGCATAATTCTTGCGTTCCAGGCGCTGCTTCTGCAGCTTTTGCTTCACAAAACGTACGCTCAGGTTGTAGAGTAGCGCCCCCGTCAACAGATCGAGCAGTATGTAGATTAATGGCAGCCACTGGGGAAAGTTTAGGAACAGCCCGGACAACGCTTTCAGCACCAGGGGGCTCTCATGCACAAGGTCGCCACTGTACGGGTCAATTCCTTGGTCCAGCAGGTAGATGCCTTCCTTCACTACATAGATAATAGATAATTACAATATGAATACATATGGTTTTAAAGGATTACTCACTCCGCTTTTGGGAATTTAAAGGTGTAGCAAACTCCACCCGATCGCTGATAAGCGACGCCAGCGGTGTACGCACGAAGTAGAAGCGCACGGCTCCACCCAGCAGTAGAAGTTTATAGAATTTTGCATCCATATTGCTCGTTTGATTCTTCTGGAGATCCTAATTAATGGAATGCGGCATTATTTTTCCAAAATAAAATTCAGTTTTCCGGGAATCGAAGCGGCGGCGACAGCTGTTACTAAGGATGGTCGATATCTATCGATCAGTTACAGTTTTGGAGTGGGTGCAACCTTTTCTTAAACACACCTTGTTGCATTTTATGTTCAAATTTGACTTAAAAATTAAGATTGCCAGTTCACAAATCTACATTGAAATCTTTACTGGTAGAGTAAATGAAATGAATTTTGATAATTTAGGCCACTAACCAAATAGTATAGTATATATTTGGTTAGTGTTTAGGTGCAGCTAAAGATGGCAAAAAACCATGCCGCTACATATCGATAGGCATTCGACTGTGCCAGTCGATACTTGCTCGTTTTGTTGTGGAACTGTTTGTTGCACTTGCCTCGCATTTACAATTTTTGCAATTTAATATATAAAATCACCCACAATATGATTGGAACCAAGAAGAAAACAAAAAAGGCAAATGTCTTTAAGGAAATAGCGGACAACTTCGAGCAGCTGACCAAGAATCCAGAGCGTTTTCTCAAGTTTGTTTTCGTCCAAGGCGCGCACGTGTTTGCTTCAGTGGAAATCTAAACAATTTTTCTTCTAGGCCGCAGCCGGATCAGATTAGTGCCATCGAACAGCTCATACAGCAAACCTACAGCGTAAGCATCAGCGGAGATGTAGAGAATAAGAAGGACCTGCTGCCCGAATTGGTGCTGGAGCATATGGACGAGGAACAGATTTGGCAGCAGCTTGAAATACGCAACGAGCTGGTGTTCCCGCAACTGCTGGAGAAGACTGCCAAGCTGATGGCCATGAAGGAGAAGCACTTGGGCATCGAGTTGGACGATGACGAGGAGGAGGATGAACAACTAGCGGCCGAGTCTGATGAGGATGAACCCGCTCAGGAGGCTCCTGACTCTGATTTTGATGTGTCTGGCAGTGATGCCGAGGACCTGCCTAAGAAATCCAAACCCAAATCAGTTAGTCAGACAAAGAAGAGCGGCAAGCGTGTGCGCAGTTCTGTGGTGGATGACACATTCTTCAAGCTGGACGAAATGAAGGAGTTCCTGGAGCAGGAGGACGCCAAGGAGATGCGAAAGCAAAAAAGTAAAAACAGCGTGGAGGAGGACGCAGATGCCATCGACTACTATGCGGATGATTTCGGTGTGGGCGACGAGGAAGACGAGGATGATGTCAATGTGAATTATGCGGACTTCTTCGAGGTGGATGAGGAGCTGGAGCGGGAGGCGCAAAAGTTAAACAAACAGATAAAAGGCAAGCAGAGGGATTACTTCAATGAAAACGAAGATGAGGCAGAGGAGGATATAGTACCAGAGGAAGAGGATGAAGACGAGAATGAAGAGAATGAGGAAGCAAATGACGACCAAGAGGATGCACCCAGTGAAATTGACGAATCCGAATTTGTGGCTAAAAGTGGCATTGAACCCGCCAGTGATTCAGAATCTGGCAGCGACAAGGAAGATAACGATAACGAGGAGGAGGAGGAGGACGACGACCAAGAAGAGGCCACACCTGCAGTCCAGTCCTCCAATGAGCTGCGTGAGGCGCGTCTGTTCCAGCGCATACGCGACTATGAGGACATTGTGCTCGGCGAGAAGCCCTGGCAGCTGAAGGGTGAGGTGCAGGCGGCCAATCGGCCACAGAACTCGCTGCTGGAGGAGATTCTAGACTTTGAATCCACCACAAGACCCACGGCACCGCTCACAGAGGAGGATAATCGCTCCATCGAGGATATCATAATGCAGCGCATACGCGACAAGGCCTGGGACGATGTGGTGCGCACCGTGCGCGTGGATAACACGCCGCAGGAGTACCGCAAGCAGCTGGTGCTCGACCAGGAGAAGTCCAAGCAATCCTTGGCCCAAATCTACGAGAAGCAATACCAGCAGGAGCTGGAGAAACTCGACCCGAACAAGGATGACGACAATGCCGGACCTGAGCCCAAGGAGCATCAGGAGATCAAGCGAATGATGCGCTCGCTCTTCCTCAAGCTCGATGCCCTGTCCAACTTCCATTTCACACCAAAACCAGTGGCGCCGGAAATCAAGATTGTCACCAACACGCCGGCGGTGCACATGGAGGAGGTGGCGCCCCTGGCCGTCAGCGATGCCAAGCTGCTGGCCCCCGAGGAGGTGTTCCGTGGACCCAAGCACGCCCCGCTGGGCAAGACGGAGCGCACACGCACCGACAAGAATCGCGAGCGGCGCAAGAAGAAGCAAAAGCAGCGGGCCATCAATGCGGTGCTCGAGACGCGCGACCTGCAGCGAGCCAAGGAGGGCAAGGCGCCCACGAAACGCGAGGCAGACGCCAAGCTCCTGAAGACCATCACCAAGAGTCGCAATGTGCAAAAGGTAAGTGGACATAAGGCGCCACAGTTGAGTTTCCCTATACGAATTTGTGCTGCCCTCTTTGCAGATCACCGCCAGCACCAACGATCAGGGCGCTCTGAAATCCTCAAAGGCATTCTTCAACAAGCTGCAGGACACGACTGCCACGGCGGCGAGCGGCGCTGGGAGCAAACGTCCCAAGAAGGATCCGGCCAAAGCGAATGCCAAAAAACTCAAGCTCTAATTCTGTACATTTTAAGACTACTTTTTCTTTGCCAACTGCTAATGGCATTTGCCTGTGACGTCCAGTCCTCCAGTCACGTGCCAGCAAATGGCCAATTCACACACCACACACCACGCACGCCCACACGCCCCCCCACAGGGGATGCGCCTTGTTAAAAGGATAACTTTGGCATATCTCTGAGCGAAGAGCCCTAATTTGGGGCACCATGGGAGCTGCCATGCGAAAGCATTTTGTCCGGCTCCCTCTGTGTGCCGTGTGGGTGTTGCGTGTGACTGATCCAAGGACATTTGATGGCGAGGCAGGACGATTAGACACGCGTGTAATGTCCACAATTGGATTATTTTTAGAATAATTTACCTAAAATAAACTGTGTGCTATTTAAATAGAAAGGAAACTCAAGAATTTCGAAGTTTGGTGCATTAAAGTTTTTTTTTTTTTTTTTTTTTGAGGTTTTAAGTTACCGCTCTACCCTTAGGTAGAGGGGAATTATTTGGCCACCCGCCTTTCAAGGGGGAAATCGCCACGTCGTAATATGTAACTTGGTTACAGCTTTGCTCCAATACTTACCTGGCGTAGAGGTTATTTTCCCCGTCCGAATTTATTTGAAACATATCAAGTTTGTCTACGAAAGCAAAAAAAATGTAGTGATGCATTAAAGTTTTAAATTAAGTCATAATTGGACGGTTTACAAAAACTGCGCTCAATTATAGCACCAACCTCATACAAGTCGTGCTCAGTGCTAGTATATTTAATTAATTCCTTGGTATTTTTGTGAGCATCAGTGGGTATATTTTTAAGGGTCATGCCGTATATTTGATCGATAAATCCGCGGTCACACTCACCAATCGCACGTGTTGCATTTAAAAAGAATTGTTTTTCTCCTCAAAAAACACAATTAATTGACAACGCAAAGATGGTTAAAGTACAAAAACCACAGCCAAAGTCGCTGAGCAAAAGCGCCAATATTGAGGGCGTGGCCAGGAAAAAGAAAACCACGGAAAAGGGCAAGTTGACCAAAGCAGCCGTTCTGGAAGTAGCGGTAAAAAATGCGGCGCCGAAAAAACTAGAAGTCGTTGAAAAACCCAAAAAAGAACAGAAGAAGCCTGCTGGGAAAGAGAAACAGCAAAAGGCCACTAAGAGGCCGTTGGTAATGGCTCCTCCAGAGTCGCCGGTTGCATCGCCGGTCGTTGTAAAAAAGTCAAAGGGAAAGGCCGCTGCCGCCCCCATTCCTGCGACTCCTGTCGCCAAAAAGCCGCTGATTTTGGCGCCATCTCCTTCGCCCGCTAAACCAGCGACTGCCAAAAAGGAAAAGAAAGGCAAACTGGCTCCTGTTGAGGCTCCTAGAAAGGTGGCCAAGAAATCAGTTGTAGAGGAAGCACCTGCAAAGAAGCAAGCACCTTCTAAGAAGGCTGCTGTGTCTGCATCTGCAGCCAGTGCGAAGAAATCAGGCAATAAAGCGGATTCAGCTCCAGCAAAGAAGGCAGTAGAAACACCAGCTCTAGCTCCGACTGCAGCGAAGAAAGATAACAAGAAAGCAGCTCCAGCTAAGAAAACACCGGCAGCTCCTGCCAAGCAAACACCTGAGGTTCCAGTCAAGAAAACATCTGAAGCTCCAGCCAAGAAAGCAGAGCCAGCCAAAAAAGTTGCAGCAGCAAAGAAAGCAGTGGAGTCACCGGTCAAGGCAGCAGCTCCTGCCAAGAAAGCAGCTCCAGCCAAGAAAATCTTGGACTCTCCAGTCAAGACAGCAGCTCCAGCCAAGAAAGTAGCTCCAGCCAAGAAAGTAGCTTCAGCCAAGAAGGCAGCTCCTGGCAAGAAACCAGTTGAAGCTCCAGCTAAAAAGTCTGACAAGGTAGCCAAACAAACAGCACAGGTTGTGTCTGAAGTAGCTGAAGCCAAACCAGCAGCAGCATCGCTGCAGAAGAAGACGAAGCCAGTCAAAAAACTCTACAAGCCAGACAAGTCGCCGAAAAGTAAGAAGGCAGCCAAGAAGAATGTGGAAGGAACAAAGGGAAAGTCCAACAAAAAGGTCAAGAAGTCCAAGAAGCCGCCCGTCAAGTTGCAGTTCGAGGTGAAGCCCTTCGATGAGCAAAAGTTCCATGATATTGTCTCCGAATCTAATGTGCTGAAGGTGTGCCAGGCCCTCAAGACCCAAGCGGCCGAAGAGGTGGCCAAGAAGAAGTCAACATCGATCTTCAGCGACTACCGCTACACACTGCAAGTGTGCAGCTACAAGATACCCAGCTGCCCCAAGCGTGTGGTCAAGCTGGGACTGAAGCACTCCCTTGTGGGCAGCGACGATGATGTGGCCATCATTGTGACTGACTTGCAGCGTGGTGCCAAGTTTGATTTTGAGCCCACCAAGGCCCACTACGAGGATCTGTTCCGGGAGATTGGCATCGAGCAGCGTCTGACTGTGGTGCCATTCAATCAGCTGCGCAACGATGTGAACAGCTTTGAGGCCAAGCGCAAGTTCCTCAACACCTATGACTACTTTATGTGCGACGGCAAGTTATCGGGACAGGCCAGTTCGTATCTGGGCAAGGTAAAGTCTGGCTCTTGTCAGTCCCGCTTGATTTATTTAATTTTTCTTTATTTTTCACAGTTTACCCAGAAGCCGCGCAATGTTCTGCATCCGGTGCGTCTAAGCAAGGACAATGCACAGCTGCAGAAGGAGATATCGCGTGCTCTGTGCCGCACTGCCTTCAGGCAACTCAGCAAGGGTGATCTCACCTCCGTACCCGTGGGCAACCACGAGCACAGTGCCGAGCAGCTGGCGGAGAATATTCTGCTGGTGACAAAGCAACTGGAGACTGTCTTTCCTGGGGGCCTGGCCAACATTCGTTCGCTGTATGTCAAAATCGATATTGTCGGCACCTCGGCCCTGCCCCTGTACATCAGCATGTGTGCCGCACCAGCGGACACTCCGTATGTGGTCGGACCACGTGAGCAGCGCATGCTGAAGCTGAAGAAGCAGGCCAATGAGGTGCTGTCTCGTTTTGCCCTTACCAAGGATGCCGAGTTCGTAAAGTTGACTTGGCAACAGGTGAAGCGCAAGGCAGAGATTCGCGAAGAGAAAGCGGCTCTCTTGGCAGCCGATGCGAATGGTACTGCCGCTCCTTCTAAGGACAACGATGGTGAGGACACTGCTGTGCCCACAAAGAAGGCTCGCAAAGAGTCGACGAGCGAGGCGGCCAAGAATGAGGCTGAATCGGATGAAGATGAAGTTGAGGAGGATGATGAGAATGAGCATGCTGAAGGTGACGACAACGACGACGATGAGGAAGATGAGAATGATGAAGATGATGACGACGACGACGATGAAGATGATGATGATAATGAGAGTGAGGAGGACGATGAAGATGATGACGACGACGATGATGATGAGTAAACGTGCCCTCGTGGCAAATTTACTTTCCTTTAGTCGTAATGCTTGGATACCCACCCCCTCCCAGCCAACAATTTCTACTCAATTTTCGTATTGAAAATGTTTGGAACAGTTTTAAGGAATAAACGAATTGTTTTTAAGATAACCAATTTAGGTGCCACTAACTATTTTTTGTTTGTTTTGGTATTTTACAGAATCTTTTTTCCAGTAATATCAATCACAATTCGTAAAATTCCATCGCCACCTTGTATATTTTCAGTAAGTATATTTTCAGAATATCTTGAGGATAATACACGAAATCCTTCGTCTCGTAATCCTCCCTTGATCAGTATTAACATACACAAACCGAAGTGATTCGGCAATTTTTGGTTGCTTACCATTATAATATTTGCATTCAATTATAATCCCATTAATATTAGGATATCTTTCTAAACGGGCAACAGGTGACAGCCATTCCGCTCATCTTGGCATCAATATAATATTTAATTGGTTGATTTTTGTTACTTGTCAGCGGATTGTTGTTTATTTTCTCCCTGTTCTATCCCTCTGCAGCTCGGAAACTATATTCTCCAACTCGTTCAGTCGTTGCATTAGTTTTTTTACTTTTGAGGAATTTTTCTCTATCTAGAAGTTTTGTAGTTGGTTACCTCTAATTTTAAACCGATAGGGCTCTCACCAGGCCAGAATAACCCTTTCAAGGAGGTTAATCTTTATTTCTTTGTAAATTAAATGCAATTAGTTCTCAGATTGCGAACCTTATTGACCATCCTTTACTGTTAATCCACACCGGAGTAGAGAGAATGAGAGCGGTAGACTGTGTCTTTCCCATTTATTATGGCTACAAACATTTATCCGAGTTCGTTAAGCTAATGCTTTCAATACTGATCGAGAATCTATTTACTTTCTGGGATTGGGAACTCTTGCTTCTGGACATTTGCCCATGCACATACATTTGGCATCAATTGATTATAATCCGTTCGGTATCGGATTTAATAACGATAAAATAATCAATTGGTCACCCAATGCATTGCAATGGATTCGATTGAAGAGAATACCTATTAATATTAATGTAATGGCTATATGCTTTATTCAGGCATGAACCCTTTGCCATTTGCATTTGAATGCCTTTTCCAGATTGTGCAAATTCTTGCCGACCAAAAACCCCGTCGTCCACGCATTATCGTCGGATGGGATGAGGTTGTCGTTGGATGCTGCATTAACGTGGCTCAAAGCGAATGCCAACAACCTTTTGGCATCCTTTGTGGTCATAAAATCGAAAAATGCACTACCCAACCGAAGGCTCTGGCTCAGCGGGAAGTGGAATGCATGCAACAAGCTACCCACAAAGTCAATTTCCATTTCCCTGAGCATTGATGTATGTGTAGGCGTGGGGGAGATTTTCCCCCATTTCCCCTAAATTTCATAAATTAGGCAGTCTCATCCAGTGGGGAGTACAGAGAAATGCAATTTCTTTGATGTCTGCCAGGGCATTATTTATGTATGAGAACGTGAGTGTTTGAGGCTGACCAAACAGTTAACACATGCTTTCGTAATTCCTCTTAATTATCTTTATGATTTTCTCATAGTTTGACAGTTGGATGGATGTCCAAGTCTCTCAGGATTCCCAGGATCTCTCTCTCTCTCTCTCTCTTTGTAGATAGCAACACACGACTTTGTTGTGTGTGGGTGGCTGTGGTCAAGGTCGCGACTCTGGAGATTAGAATCACGTTTTATGCCGAAACCGAAAACCAAGTCGGACACGTCGCTGGCAATAGCCAAAAGCAAAAAAAAAAAACATTATAAAGCTTTTATCAGTCCACATTATCATTAGTCGCGTTTACTGTCATAAAATCTACATACAGAGAGACATATAGACATAGAGAGATACAGTACTTATAGACATATCTATGTGTATGTATGTATATAGAAACATGTGCGTATATTTGAAAGGCAATAAGGATTTCCTACATACGCCACTGGCATTTCCCCATTTTTGTGCCCTTTTTCATGCGCCTACATGCGATTTCACTACTGTCAAAACCAGAACAAACCGAGAGAGCGAGTTGATAGACGTGTGTTACGAAAGTGTTACATTTAAATGGGTGGAGTATCCTACACAGATTGGGGAATGTGGAATACTTGGGATAGGTCAAAGAATATTTCGCATATTGTGTCGATTCTGATGCAGAAAGGTCAAACAAGTATGAAGAACGAGACCTTGGAGCCTGGAGCCTGGAGCTAAATAAAATTCGTGTACCATGGACATTTATTGGCCCTTATTTTCTTACCTCTTAAGCCTTTTCTTTGGTGGCACTTAATTTAATAATTAATTATTATTTATTAATTATAACTCTTTTTGTGGAAAACCATAAGCATAAAACCAAGAAACCATAAAAAAGATTTGCAGCTTTTATCATCTCCAGAATAAATAGAGAAATCCATTGAAAATTCATATACAATATAACGGATAAAAGTTTTGCTCAAGTGCTGCAAAGTGTTCCAAAAATGTTTTAAAATTTAAATTTTGTTTATGTGAAACGTAGTTAGCTGGAAAATATTGAAAGTGATGTGTTACAAAGGGGCTCTGGCTTTGGCTATGGCCCCAACAAAAATCGTTTAATGTCGCGTAAAGTGGAGAGCGGAAACGGCAAGTGCATGGTACGTATCTTTAGGATACATTTCCATTCTTTTCCAAATGGCAACATATTTTCTCGTTATGAATTTTACAAGATGAAAACACCAGTAAATACAAATGTGCAAGCGACCAGCGTTTACCATTGGAGTTTAAATTGGTAAGTGATGCTATAATTTTGTATATAAACTTGGAAAAAAGTATATGCGTGTCTCTGGCGGAAGCCTTAGACCTTCATTTATCAGTACATACGGAGTTACCCACGCTAAAATTTTCAGACGCACAGACTATTCAATTAAACAAAAAAATAATGGGCATAACCTTTTGTTATCCATGATTTTTATCAGTGATTTTCTGATTTCATCATCATCATTTATCATGATGATTACGCATTGATATGATTCTCATTTGTGGATAGCAATATTTTATATAATAATCTCTAATGCTTAGTCATGGAATGGAGAAGTCCATGACTGTAGCATAATACCAATTAGATAATTTCGATAATGCCCCAAAAGAATTAATAAGCAATGAAATGCATTCAGTTGGGGGATTTATATTGGATTTGACGACTGACAGCTGCCAGGGGAAACTAATTGAAAATAATCTGAGGCTGATTAGTGCCTGATACTGATAGCATGATCGATGGATAGCAAGTCGATAATTGTGCGTAATTTGATTAATAAACAGATAGCATAGATGCATGGAAGGGAAAAGCTAAATCGCCTCAGAATTATGACCACAAATTGCCACGTGTTGCGTAAACGTATTATATTCGCACTCCTCCAATGATTGCGCACAATCCCCAAACCCAGAACTCATAAATATTCGTACGAGATTTTGCGGGGGCTGTGGGAGCTCTTCGGGGCTCTGTACTTCGGTACTCTCGGTCCAATCGGCTCTCCCCGCCTGAAACCGTTGAAATCTTTCGTATCCTCGGCTGGCCATCGGCTTGCCTTTCGCCTCGTATAAATCGCGCGCTTCTTGGGCTGCCGATTTCACTCACGTTTCACACTCAAAGCAGTGCAGTCACCAAGCAGCCGAAGCAAAAGCTAATGGTTAATGTTAACCCTATTAAAATTTTGTTAAATTCTAAATCAGTTTTTGAACTTAGTTTCCGTGCATTTTCCAGTGAAGTTTTCGTAACAAATAAAACATATTAACAAACTGACATTTGTGTGCCAAGCAAATTGAAACCCCGTTTTTATCTGTGCATTTGCATTAAAGAGGTGAGTTTTATTAATTATTTATGATTTATGATAATAAAATAGTTAAAATGGAATAGAAAATAAGTTAAGACAAGGGAAATCTTTTTTATCTAAAAAAAAGTTGTTTGTAAAATAAATATTTAATTCGTCCTTTTAAATCAAAGAATTTGGCTTTTTTATTTCATCATAATTTGAAAGGTATTTATATTGAGCTAATTATCAACTAATTCGGCCGTCGGGAATATACATATTGTTTAATATTTTTTCAATGAAAATTGTTTAATTAAAAGTGATATCGTTTTTATATAATATTAGCCGTCGGAAAACTTATTTCTTTTCTTTCTTCTAATTTCTTTAAAAGTTTTAATTAAATTAAATATTTAAGTTTTTTACATTTTATTTCTTTACTGAATTGCTTTGAATTTCTGTGAATATTGTAGGAAATTATAGTTACTAAATGTGTCCTCTAAATTATGATTTCCTAATCAAGAAAATTTAAAAATTTAAATTTAAATTTAAAACCCTCTTACATATGCGGCTGTATTTACGATTGTATTTATTCCTTCTGTTTCATCTTCCACTTAATTATGTATGTTTTTATGGCTCAAATATTTAATATGTATGTTTATATTTCTGCAATGGACCGTCTCTGGCCTTTTGGAAATGGTTTCTTAGCCCCGGCCTAAGCCATAAAGTCAACATGCAACCCCCAGTCCGCCATTGTGTCCAAGATGTCCCTTCTCGATGATGTGTGTTGATCCCGGGACATTTGTTGCTTTGCCTTCGTCCTTGCGCTTTCGGCCTAGCCAACCTTTTTATTTCTTTTTGTATCTGGTAAAATCTTTATTTTAGGTTGCAAAATTGAAGTCGACCCTGCGTTGGTATTATTACCGAGTAAGTCCTTTGGATTATCGCAATCATTTAAAGCTTTAAAGCTGCGGGTCACTCATATTTTATCGTCTTGATAGTTTTTGGGGTTTTATGGGAGGCCGTAGTTGCGTTGAGAGTTTTCCTACACCATTGCCTGAAACTTTGGCATTAGCTTCTTAAAGTTTTTGTCTTAAATATGTAGTGGAAGTTCTTGGCTTAATATCAAGACAAAGTTCTTGGCTGAAATATAACTGGGAAGTTATTTTCTTTAATATTTTCCCAAACTTCTTTTCTTAAGCATTTCAAGCAATGGAAATTAATTTCGCCCGCATCCAAAGATCAACCTTATTTGCCCTGGAATTACTCATCTGTGATTCGAATCAAATGACTGAGCTCATCCCACTGAACTTTACTTTAAATTCAATTGAATTCTGCGTTTTGCAAATCAATTATGTTTCTGGCTATAGCCACAAATGTCCATTAATGTATTAACAAATAATCAATTACTTTTCATTAATTTAAGAAAAAGTGACATAAAAATCAGCATGTAAAGCAAATTAAAATTATAGAAAAATCCAGAAACTAAATAATTGCAAAGTTATAACCATTAAACATTTATTTAAGTCTGACGCAGCGCGAAAGCCGCTTAGCTGACGAGTAAGAGAGGAAAAGTGATTTGTTTTTGCACTGTGAAACAGGAGATGAAATCCTTTTAATCCCTTTCTTTTGCACACTCTTTCGTATACAGCGATAAATTTGATTGTTTACTGGAATGCCATTAAAAAGAACTCATTAAATGTGTTTTCTTTCTGTGAAATACGAAATGGAATGATCTCAATTTCTCTGGGTGACTTCAAATCTATTTTAAAAATAAATACAGCATTCATTTCTACCAAAATATACTTCATAAATCTCACCAAAGCCAAGAGGATATCCCTGAAGCAACAAATACTATTTTTGCAATTACATTTTCAATCAATAAATTACACTTTCCATCCCACTTTTTTGCCCACACAATTTCCTACACATTTTTGGGCATTTTATTTATATTACATACCACATTTCTTTGGGGCAAACTGTCGGAGCTGGCAGAACCGAACACGAGAACAGAGAGCTTGTGGCTCAGGTGCACCAAAATGGGAACTGACAGGCGTTGAAAACTACTTAATTTAAGAGTCCACTCTGGGGTATTTATTTAAATGCTTTGAACTGCGACAGTTTTGTTTTTTAGGGGGAGGGATTGTTGTTTTCTTTAAATTTGCAAAATGAAAATACCTCAATAGGCAGCAGGAAAGACGTAAGAAGGCAGTTGATTTGGGTGCCAGTCGTACTTGCTTTCACATGATTTCTTTTTCAATGGGGGTTCCCCGATTTCCCAGCATCTAAATGCTCTCTTTTGGAATGGTCTTTCTTGGTTTTCCCTGGGTCTTAGGGAAATGATGTGGTATTTTTTTCAGGCTCAATTAATTCAAGTGGGAAGCTTGAAGGTGAACCTAACCCAATACCCCGACATCAATTAAAAAACAGCTTTACGAAAGTCTTCAAAAAGGCAGAAAACCCCCTCACAATTCAATACTTTTTCAGTGGCTAAAACGCAGTAAATTTCGCCACTTGATTGTGGCTAAGCGCAGAAAAATTTCTCCACCTTAGCGTGGATAATAACCAGCAAAAAAGGGTTTAAACCGTACACCCAAAATGGTCTAGAAAACTTTCGAATAAAATTGCTCCTAACAAGCGATCCCCCGGTTGTCCGCTCGTCTAATTAAATTTGCATATTTTTATTAATTAAATTGTTTTTACCAGTGTTGTGTTCCAGAAACCGGCTGTGAGCTTTGGCCGCTCCGCAACCAACACACACACATACGAGTATGCGTGCTAATCATCGTAGCAGAGCTGGGGGAATCTCCGGCTAAAAATTACCATGCTCCCTGCGGAAGTTGAGCAAACACCCGAAACGGAGCACAATTCTTTATTCGGATGCCTGCCAATGAGTCCTCTGTTTTACACGCTGCAAGGGGACTTCATTTAATTATAAAATACTCCACAGATAGACAGCATTTCGAGGCTTATTTCCTCCTTTATTGCATTCTTATGGCACAAAGTACAGCATTCGACTGTGATCATAATTTGTTCAGTTTTTATGGTGTTAATGTAATTGGAGGCACGATTCTACAGTCAGTTATGTTTATGCCTTAAATTAGGCTTCTGAATTGGAAACTGCATAAAAAGTTACACACGAGTTTCGGGTTAAATTGAGTGGAGTTTTAGTGTGGGCAAAATCATTAAAACTTTCACCTAAAAATTAACATAATTTTCATACCCTACTTTTGCGGCAAGCAACCAATATGGATACAGCTTATACGAGCAGACTCTTTTGGGTAATCAGAGCTAACGGGTGTTCAAAGGGTATTATGTTTCGGTTTTTGCAGAACTTTAAGCCGAATTTGCGGTTTATTATATTATGTATTTTTGATGGTGTTGTTTTGTTGTTGGTTTTTGAGGATTTATTTTGTATAAGCAATCAACATTTGTTGGGTTTTTCTGCCAGAATTCAGCTATAATGATATACATTTTTTTAGTACCGGGTATAAACCCGGTACTCGAAGAGTAAATAGGGTATATTGTATTTGTGGGGAATAACGGTTGTATGTAATGCACAGAAGGAAACGTTTCCGACCCCATAAAGTATATATATTCTTGATCAGCATCAATGGCCGAGTCGATTGAGCCATGTCTGTCTGTCCGTCTGGCCATCTGTCCGTAGGTCCGTCTTGTTTGTCGGCTAGTTCTCAGAGACTATAAGAGCTAGAGCCACCAAATTTTGGCTCCAGACTGCTGTATGCTCACACTGAAAACAGTGTATTTAAAAAATTAGCCCCTCCCCCGTAAAAGGGCGAAAACCTCCCAAATCTACAATTTTGAAGATAAAATAAAACTTAAAACGCCATTCCGTAGGGAATGACCATATCTATCAGATCACCGGATCATCGGATTGGGATCCGATTGGATTATTATTATAGCCACAATGGAGAAATTAATTTCAAGTGGCTAAACCCACCCTGTCCCGCAGCTTTTGTTGTTCTTTTTACATTCTCTCATTCACATTCTGCTTTACTCGGCCTCTGCCTCTGCCTTCCCTCTGCCTCTGCCTTCCCTCTGCCTCTGCCTTCCCTCTGCCTCTGCCGACTTTTAACCCACCCCGTCCCGCAGCTTATATTTGTTTTTTTTATTTGTGTGCGGCCGCTTCCTTTGCCTCTGCCGCGAGTCTGCAGTGTGTGGGTCTAGGGAAGGGCGGCGAGCTAACGGAGAAGTGTAGTAGATGTAGATGACAGATGAAGAGAATATGTAAAATTTGACAAAACACCGCTAAGGTGCAGATGTGACGCTTAAGAAGCGTCTCACACGTCCCTTCTCGTTTAATTTTCCATTGCACATATTCCTATTCCTCTCAGGGTAATATTTATTTGCATATGATTTAAATTTTTCATGCGCGCCTGCAGTAGAGATATAAATTTGCTTGCTGGTAAATGTTAACCTCTTGGCATACATTTTCACTCTCCATTTGCATTACCCTCGCCACACACAGCGTTGTGGCAGCCACCTTTGATGGTATTTTATGCTTAACGTAACGTTACCCAGCCAAATATTTATTCACATTTAAAAAGTATTTTATGTTGCATTTTCCTATAAGCATTTTCTGATGCTGAAGCTGATGCTGCCACGCAAGGGGAAATGCCGTGCCATTCCTTATTCTGTGATAAGACATGCATCCAGCCGTCTCATCCACGCCGCATGATCCCCTCCACACACGGACTCCTCAGATATGCGATGATGGTATGGCTTTTATGTGTGTGTTTGTGTGCCCGGACCACCTCCTCCTTCCCGAGGGTTTGCTTAAACTCTCCATTGACTCTCTGCCTCTTTGCCCACGGATTGTGCTCCTTGGATTTGCCTCGCTGCTCCCCCAATTTTTTGTATGACAAAGTTTTCTTTTTTGTAATAAATTCGCTTTACAAAATATTTGAACATTTATGGCCGGCTTTCAAATTAAATACTCTTCACGCTCCTCAGCTGGAAACGAAAAAAGATATGTAAGTCGCGGCATTTATTTGGGGGCTTTAAATGTTCATTTCGAAATTGAAGGAAATATT